AATATTCGCATGCAGACATTCCCCTTTGACATCACTTCCTGTTACTTCACATGCAAAWATCTCAACAACTGTTCATCTGAGCAACGTGAAATTCCTTTTATAATATGTTAATAATGCTGTCATTCCAAAAATACAGTCATTTTTCTTACAAAAGCTTGATGTCACAGACACTTTAAGGTTTCATCCACAGCAAATTGGGGTTAAGACCCCAATGTGGGTCCTATAGCTCCAAATTTTGGGCCGTTAAACTGACTGTTAAAAATATGTTTGCTATGTTTGATGAAAAAGCATTTAGATATGGATAAAAACACTTGATCTATTAGCAATATTTGAATACTTCAACCAAAAATACTTTGATTCATGAGTTTCTTCCAGTTTTAATTTTTTGTCATTTGTGTTTATTATGAAATTGGTCTTAAATTTAATTTCAGTTGGCATTAAAAAGTCTTAAATTTAACTTTCTTTAAACTGTAGGAACCCTGGTGATATTTTCATTACCACTTAATAAAGAATGAAGGAACATTAAGTTTTTGAGGCTTTTAGATAAAAACTCCATGGATAGATCAACCAGTCAATCATCTGCTGCTTGTTTTGGAGGTGGGTCACAAAGGCAGCATCTTCAGGACCAAGATACCCGACCCACCTCAGCTGGCTTTGCACTGTGAAAGAGCAGCAGCTGTAATTCAAGTCCCACACAACCAGATTTCTCAGGGGAGAAATGTTTATCGATTGGTAAACAGAGTCATTAAATATCCAGAGAGAAAACATTTGGCCATATGCTGGTGGAGATTTTCAGTCGTCCAGATCATGATCAATCAAAAGAAGAAAAACTAAACCAGTGTTTTTAATCTGAAGCTGAAGACCTTTCACTTCCCATCCATGAAGTTTTATTAATTCAAAATGTCTGTAATCAAAGCAGAAAGATGTAATGGGTCTGTTTATTTGTCATGTCTGATTGGTTACTTGTTGTACCTGTGTGYTCTGTCAGATCTGTTGGCCGTGCTCTGTCCTAAAGGGCCTCTGAGGATCCTGGTTGAGACGGCCCAGGAGAGAAATGAACCCATCTTTCCAGCTCTGATCTACTCTTGTAAGATGAACACTGACAGATTAACACTGTTCCAAGCTCTTTATGATATATTTATAATAACATTTAAAGTGCTGTGATGTGTATATCCTTCAAATTCAAAGAGTCAAAGAGAATATCTAAAACTATTCAAGCTCCAAACCTTAGGTGGAAACACAGGGAACATTGTTGAAAGTGCMTCTGTTAACACCACTGAAACCTTTAGCATGTTTCCCCTTAGCATAAAGTAGTATACTTGAAGTTCATTTTAATAAGTATACTTGAGTATACGTTTAAGARTATCAAGTATACTAGCCACCATGTACTTGTAGTATACTTGAAAGTATATTGATTTAATACTCGTTCATACAAAATTGGGACATTTTTAGTTTATACTTTAAGTATACTGTTGTAATGTTTATAAACTTACCAAAAAGAAACATATTTTAAGTACTTGTCATGAAGTATACTATATACAAGTGTATGTCCCTAAGTGTACTTTTATTTACTATGTACAAT